CTGAATTTAACTTTAAAACTCTTTGCAAGTACTGGTTAAGTCTTGGTACAGAACAGTTTCCTAGAAGATATGGGTGTTTAAAGATTCAACTATAATATCATGGTCTCTTCTGTAAAGATCCCATGCATATTGTAAGAATGCTATAGGCAAGGAGAACATTATTCTCTTTTTAACTAGTATAGTACATGCTGATAGATGCAGAATAAACACACCATGAATAACTCATCTCATTGATGCTGAATCTTAAAATAGTGTTAATATAATCTACATAATTACATATTATGTGATTTGTGTGAATTCAATACTTCTATGTTTGCTTTACTTAAGCAAATAACATACAAAAGTTATAGTATCCCATGTTATACATATTTCAATGAGATATCTGTGCCTTGACTATAAAAATTAAACAGAAATTTGGTATATTTAATCACCTAATAAAAAGTTATTATAGACTCTATTTTAATACACTTAGAACTTACCATTTTTTCTTCATAGGTAGGATCTGGTTCTTGGATTTCTTTTTGCTTTCCAGGAGACGCATCATCAAATACTTCCTGGTAGGAGGGAAAAATCGTGGATTGTTCAAAAATTGTCAACACACCATTATTAGACTGATTTCTGCCCAAAATATTTTCTAACTAATATATTCCTATCCCAAACTTCTTAGCTATTTAAACAGCTGTCATCTAATCTGATAGAAAACCTTGATGAAATGAATTAACAAAATGATAGAATCTATTTAATCCAAATAAGTGAACTGCATGGCTACTGCAAAGATTAAAACAAAGATTACCTATGTCATCCTAAAACAAAATTATATTCAGTAAGTTTGCTTCTTTTTCTAATCAATAAAAATTATGAAATCAAATTAAATAATATAAAATGTGAAGAAAACATATGTTCCCTTTTAATTATAAAATTGCAGTATCTACTGTGCCACTACGCAAATGTATATCTGGAAAGCAGCATTAATAATCACTCTGTGTTCCATCTTCTGGAATATTACAAAAAAATTATTACGTATCCTAAGTTGAACACAGTCTGATTCCTAAATTGGTAATAAATGTGCCATTCTTGCAAATTTATTCACCTGGACATTAAAAATGCCACAAACTGCACACACACACCAACAATAACTTCTATTCTGCAAAGTTACAACCATCCATTTTTAAAAAAAGAACAGTTGGTAAAAGTATAATTTTCATTAATAATATATGAACCTGTGCTTGGCAATACATACTGTATAATAAAGTTACCTATGATTAAAATGTTAGGGGGAAGAGCTGGTATAGACTAGAATTAAAGGGTCGAATGATCTAACTTCATTGCTAAGACCTTTCAGCACTCGTGTAACCTTAAAACTCAACACAAATCTCTGGTCTCCACAAGTAAAACTGACAAAGCCACCTACCTAGCCTACTTCACAAAATAGTAGAATACCATGAAAGATCAAATACACCTTCAAAAAATAAGATGTGCTTTCCAAAAGTAGTCATTATTTCTTTCATAGTTAAAAAAAAGACAAAGAAAAAGAAAGATCTGGACTCCAGGACTTGAGTTCATACAATTATTGACATATAGTGTGCTTATCTATCAGTCAGTCTAGTCTGCTGGCATATAGTGTACCTCTCTATCAGTCTAGTCCAGTGGTTCTCAGCCTTCCTAATGCCGCGACCCCTTAATACAGTTCCTCATGTTGTGGTGACCCCCAACCATAAAATTATTTTCGTTGCTACTGTATGAATCGTAATATAAATATCTTTTTGTTTTCCGATGGTCTTAGGCAACCCCTGTGAAAGGGTCGTTTGACCCCCAAAGGGGTCGCGACCCACAGGTTGAGAATCCTTGGTCTAGTCAGTAGTGAGAGATGAGGATGATCAAAGACAGGCTCCATCATCCATGTTACCAAAAAGATCATAATAATAAACAAAAAAAGGAGATAGCTTCCTAACCTATCAGTACCAGGCAAAAAGGAAAAGTTAACTGAATATATAGAAAAGCCAGCTAATATTTCTGGGAAAGTCAGCTTTGTCAGAAAAAAAAAAATCATGAATGCCTAATTTCAATTATTTTCTGATTTTGGAAAAAAACCTAAATTTTACTTTCAGAAAAGAAAATGGCATTAAAAATTATTTTTCCAACTGTGAAACAGATAGTCAGATATATTACGCATGTATGCTCAAACCTAGTTTTTACCACTAAACCTCAATGATTTCTGAATTCAGTTAAGAAACAAAAAACAGAATGAAGATACATTTATTTTAAAAAACTAAAAAAAACCCCAAAATATCACTACGTGAAAAGGAAAAAAAAAATCAAAACTAAAACTAGTCAGTGAAGAGATAAAAGATAATTACTGATATTCCTATACTGAGAAGGTAAAAACTCATCATTCAATAAATAAAATTGTGACCACATTTTTTTGTAAGAATATGACAGAACAAGATATGTTGGAAAAGGGTTAGTTCTGGAGCCTGCTATAGGTTCTATCACAGGTTCTACTTACCAGACGCCTCAATTTCCTCATCTGGCAAATAAAAATACCACTGACTTCATATGGTACTTTGTTATCACGTCAATATTCATACTTAAACTTTAATTCAACTTTAATTTAAAAATAGCAACTGAAAGCCAAAATATTTAGTTTAGGTTTTAAATTACTCTGCTTTTGACATTTAAGTAAGATCCCTAGCAAGACATTGGTTATTCCAAAATTTGAATGATGGCCCCTTTGATAAGCTAGTGAAAGCTATGAACATCACTTTGCAAAGAACTGTGCATTTAGACACAATTTCAGTGTCACAGATTTTCAAATCCCCTTAAGCCATGCATAGAGCACTAATCCAAATTAAACCACCCTGGTAATCCAAAAGAAGCACATGAAACCTTGGGGGGGGGAGGCAACAGTAAATAGAAATTTGAAACAAATCTCAAATCACTGAAAACTACAGCATATCAGATGTCCTATTCCATTAAAACCTACCTCACCACTAAAAGTTCTTTCAAAAACATTGTAACATGTTTCTTCACCCTCAATTAGACCTTTGGTGACCAAATAAAACTATTGTGCCAAATGCTTCCATGGTAAACGGCACTCACATTTCCTTATTGGGTTAATTCTGCATCAAGGCTCATTTTTAAAGCAGTATTACCTTCATTCTGTCTATCCAAGGATGGAAAAATCCCAGAAATCTTTGGGCTGCGACTATAAAAGATCTCAAAACGGATCGAAGGCCAAGAATAAAATTTGGAAGAAGCAAGCAATCACTTTATTCACAGACATCGCAAAACCTTGGGACACACCCAAGAGACCCGCCTGGCAGCTCCCCAATCCTTCCACCTCCCCCAGGACTGTCACCACCCTCTGGCCAACCCCAGCCCGGAGGGCAGGCTGGGCGGTGAGCAGTACCAATTTTCAAACGAAGTCCAAGGCCCACAAAAAGGAACTGCGTTGGACTAGAAGGCCAACCAACTAACTGTCCCTGACTTACCGATTCATTCACCCACTCATCCATTCCCCTCCCTCCAAATCAGATGGGGGTTCACAGCAGCCGCTGCGGCCTCGGTCGCCTCCCTCCCAACCGAACAGTGCCCGGCAGGGGCCTCCACTCCCTTCACTGGAGCAGCTGCGCCCCGCTTATCCCCACTGCGCACTCGGCCGTCCAGCTCTCGCCATTGTTTTCTGCCAAGAACAGACACCGCCCCCGCAAAGACCGGGATGAGGACAAGGAGGCCCCGGTCCTCGGATGCGCTGCTTTTAAATCCCGTCCTCACCCCGCCCGTCTAACCCTCCCTCCGGAGGGGCACCTCCCTCGTCCTTCCCCTAAGTTCAGTGGAAACGAAAACCTTGATTCAGCGATGCAAGAGGGAATTGTGGGAGTCGAGGGGGGAAGAAAACAGCGGGGAGGTCGCTCTCGGCCTCGGTAATCAAGAACATCTGTTTTGATGAGCGCGTTCGAAGATTTGGCAAGATTCGCTGAAAATGTTAAGTTCCAGAAACCCACAGTCAGTTTGGGCAGGTGAAGCACAGGACGCAAGGGAGGAGCATCGTTTCAGGTCCAAAGGGCCTGAAGCCGATTTGGGGTAGACAGGACCGAAGTACGGCCCTGCGTCTGATCGCTAACGCGCAGGGGAGGGGACCCGCTCCTTCTCCCCACGGCACCCTCTCCCCGTGCCCAAGGCCACCCTTACCTCCATCTCGGAGTCCGCGGGACCAGCGCCGACCTTAGAGGGAGCCGCCTGGGCCGCGATGCCCTCGGGGCCGCCTTTGTTGTTGCTGCTCCCACTGCTGGCGGCCGAGACTGCGGGCTTGGAAGGCGCGCTCTCGGGAGGCGGGGGTGGCGGAGGCTCGGCCGCGGACATGATGTTCCGTCTGCGTCACCCGCTGCTGCCGGAGGCCGGGTGCGGCAGGGATCAGGGGGCCTAGGCCTGGGTGGCTACGTCGCAACGAAATTGATGGAGGAGCGAGCAACGCCCGCCGCGCAGCGGCTCGGCGACCAGCCTGAACCTGGCCCGGCAACCTCCCGCTCTCCTCGTCCTCCTCTTCCGCGGGACTCGGGTTCGACCGGTGCCTACCTCACGGCGGGAATCACGTTGACGACAGTGGGCGGGGCCACCCGGGTCACTGAGGTCAGGAAAGGCGGGCTGATTGACCGAAGGGCGGAGGGTTGAGCGAAGGGGAAAAGAAAGCGAAAGAAAGACCGAGGCGAGAAAATAGCTTCGCGGCCGGGTCTTCCTCTGGTCAGTATCATCTACCTCTCAAGCAACCAGGACAACTACCTACGCCACCGACTTTCAACCCTCGCGAGATTGATGGGTGGCTAATAGGCTGGGTTCCGAGGCCGCATGCGCATTCTCCTCTCCTTCCCCTCTTGCCACGCCCCCGCCAGCCGCCCCCACCTTCCCCCGCGGCCCTTACGGCTAGGAGTGGGCGGGGCCTCGACTGAGAGCTCAAGAGACAGGTTTGTGCGTCGGCTCCGTGGCTTGTCGCGAGCGCAGGTCTACGCGCATTCGTAATGGCTCAGTGTCTGCGGCCTCGATGTTTTCTTGGCGTGGCCCGGGTCGGCGTCGCTCGCTGAAAACTTGCCCAGGTTTTGCGCCGCTTGGTCAAACTTGGAGGACTGTGCTCGCCTTAACGTTTACATCAACGCCTCTTACAGGCGTGATGCCACAGCGTTGATGACGTTATGGTTATCCCAAGTGACGTCTGTTTTTTGTTGTCTAAGGAGAAATGCCCGTTACTGTGACTTTTTTTCCTTTTAATTTTCACATGTTAGGTATATCAATAATTTCTAAATACCTTCTACTTACCCTCGATACAAAGAAGATAATTCCTCCGAATTTATAGGCTAAAAGTAAGCAAATTGTATGCATACTACTAGGTAAAGTAACATGAATCACCAATAGATAAGGAAGCGAGGCCTTAACCACCAAATATTAAATGAAAATGTACCTTCTCCTTAAGTGCGAAGAGATAATCAGTACTAATTATTGCAGAGTCTAAGGCCTGTGCCTTCTGTATCCAATTAGTATAGAATTCAAGCCCATCGTATTCAATTTGATTACAGAACTGCAAACTACAGTAAACCATCTGCCCTACACAGGTCTTCATTCATCTTTGTATCTCCATGTCCAGTATTCTATCAGTGTTTATTGAAAAAGGAGACACACTTTTCGAGAGTCAAGGTTTAAGCTAATTGGTTTTTACGTGGAATTTCAAACAGAAGGGATCTCTTTTGAATATATAGCCTACAATTTTTTTTAACTAATTGAATGATAATTCTTTAATTGAGATTTTGGATTAATGTTTTCCAGCCCACTAGAAGTGCTGCTTCTGAGACTATAAGGAATATGAAAAGATAAATACCTGCAATAATGTTCATCATAGTTTTCGCATTGTAATTGCAAAAATCTAGTAACCAACATTGAAAGTATGATTTTAAAACTATTGTACACCCACAAAATGAACAACCATTAATGTAGAAGTGTTCATTATATAATGTTAATTGAAAAGTTTAATAGTTCGAAAATATAGATAAAAGTTTGGGAGGATATTCATAAATGTATTGAAAGTGATTGCTACTGGTAGGTATTTCCTAATTCTTTTTTGCTTGTTAATATATATTTTTTTCTAAGATACATTTGTATATCATATTGAGAAAATTTATTTTTAATATTGAAAAATGTACTTTCACCCAAAAAAAGATTGTGTGGTAAAAAGGTAGTGGCTAGGGTGGTATCTGATATATAGATATTCAATAAATACTTGTTGAATAAATATTTAATATCCACATTGTTAAGTACAAACACTATAACATTTATTTGGTGTTCAGGATATTTCTTAACTCTTTACAGTGGTAGGTCCTGGTTTAGAATCTTTAAAATTATACTTAAGAATATAAGTGGAAGTTTTTTAAATATGACAAGTATTTAAGGCAAGCAATAAATAGCAAGAAAAACAATAAATAAAAATTCCTCAAAAATGGCAATTGTCTTTTAACGTGTGTATTTACACCATAAGTTTCTCATATGAAAGCTGTATAGGAATCTTAATGGGGAAAATTATAGAGGAGAGATACTTAGAAGAAAGGAAGAAGAGAAGACAATGTTGGAATCCAGTAAGTAATCTAAGATCAGGAACAGAGAAATAGATTTTGAGCATGGTCTAGAAGCAGAGAGGAAGTTGAAAGAGGAGCTACAAAAAAGACAGGATGACTGGAAACGGAGCAGCGAGGACATTGGCTGAGTTAGGCAGATGTAGTACTTACACGGTGGCCAAATCACAAAGGCCTATTTTTCTTCAAAGACTAATGGGCTAAAACTAACAGTTCCGGAATTGATAGCATAATACAGGATTAATGAGCTAAGAGAATAGGCTGGGGAGTTGGGCGAGCCTTGGTTCCAGTGCAGGCTCCAGAATTTAGTAGCTGTGTGAATGCAGACAAGTTACATAACTTATTTGAAATCGGTTTTCTCATCTTTTTATTATTACAGTCATACCTTGGAGATATTGTGGGTTCAGTTCCAGGTGACCACAATAAAGCAAATGTCACAATAAAGTGAGTCACGTTGGTTTCCCAGTGCATATAAGTTATGTTTACACTATACTGTAGTCTATTAAAGTGTGCAATAAGTAGCATTGTTTCTAAAAAAATGTACATACCTTAAATTTTTGTATTGCTAGAAAATGCTAACTACCATCTGAGCCTTTGGCAAGCCAGAATCTTTTTGCTGGTGGAGGGTCTTACCTCGATGTTCATGGCTGCTAACCGATCAGAGTGGTGGGTGCTGAAGGTTTGTGTGGCTCTGGCAATTTCTCAAAATAAGACAACAATGAAGTTTGCCTTATCAATTGACTCTTCCTTTCATGAACAATTTCTCTGTAGTATGTGATGCTGTTTGATAGCATTTTACCCAATTTTGAACGTCTTTCAAAATTGGAGTCAATCCTCTGAAATTCTGCTGCTGCTTTATCAACTAAGTTTATGTGATAGTCACCATAACAAATATAATAGTGAAAAACTTTGAGATATTGTGAGACATGATGTAAGTAAATGCTGTTGGGAAAATGGCACCAATAGGTTTTCTTGACACAAGGTTGCCACAAACCCTCAATTTGTAAAAAATTCAGTATCTGTAAAGTGTGATATAGTGAATTGTAATAAAACAAGGTATGCCTGTATATTATCCCAACTTTATATTGGGATAATGTTCTTACGACGATAAGAATTACATGAGACTGTGCATGTAGAGTGCTTAATATGGTGCCTGACAGAGGGAGCTCTCGGTTCAAGTGTTAGATATTCTTATCCTGAAAAATCATAAGCCTAAAAGTCATAAGTAAGGGCCAGAGTCTAGTTGGAGGAAAGGGAACCTAATAGTTTTTTAAGAAGGGTAAGGGGAATGAACAGTGTCAAGAAAACACTAGAAGGAATTAGTCCCTTAAGCATGTTCCCAGAAATAAAATGCTAATGTGAAACCATGTTAGTGTTTTATCTCAAATATGCAAATACATATTGTTTATACCTAAAATTCCTGCTTAGTGTGCTAGAACAGCATGTGCTATACTGAATAGAATGGGGCAAAGAGATATTGCCAGAGGACAAAAGATGCAAAGAGCCAGGACTATCTCAGCATTTTGGCCTTGCATGGTAACAAAAAGAAGTTAAGTTAACCAAGGACAAAGCAGGAATGCTGGGCCTTTCTTCCTGCATACTTAGTTTACTTTGCAATATTCTAAGAATATACAGTCTCGTCATTACATTGCAACAATAAAACAGTGTTGAGCTTGTATCTAAGAAGGAGAATTTCTAACATTAGATACAAATGATCATGTCTTCTATATATATTTTTCAGAATCCTTCTATGTAAGGGGATTTCAGTTAAAGAAAAACATTATGCTGTTAATAAATAAGTAAGATTTAAATACATTCCCCTCATATTTGGTCACTAGCTCACGTCAGTGGGTGAGTTTGTATCTGTTGAGTGTATATACATGTATTTATTGGGTTGTCGGAAAAGTCATGACGTATTTTTTCTATGTTTTTCGTTGCAAAAATGCGTTGTTGCAAAAATTGACTTTTCCAACAACCCGATATATAGTCAATTAAAGTTGCCTTTTCCTTATTCTTTACAACTGAAAAGTTCAAGTTCTCCGTGCATTTTTCCTTCCTGCTTTTGAAAAATATTTTCTTCTTTTTTGAATTGGTTCTAGGTAAAATACTCTTAGGAACCCAAATATTATGATCCAAAATTAAATGTTCACTACTACCATCCCTGAAATATTTTCAAAAGAATTAACAGTCGCTAAAGCTATTGTTAAGAAATTTGGCGGTTCCTTTGCTCAAATGATTGAAATTAAGAAGGTAGAAAGATATACTTCAAACATTATTCAAAAGAAAGCAGGAGTGGCTAAATCATTATCACATAATGTAGACTTCAGAGCAAAGCAAATTACAAAGAGAAACATTGTATAATGATGAAGGCGTCATTCCACCAAGAAAACATAATTCAAAATGTGTATGCACCAAACAACAGAGCTGTGAAATATGTGAAGCAAAAACTGACAGACTGAAATTAGAGATAACAAATCCACAATTATAGGTGAAAACTACAGCCTCTCTCAGTAATTGATAGAACAACTAGGCAGAAAATCAGCAAGGCTATAGAGGAACTCACCACCACTACCACCAACCAACAGATCCTAACTGGCGTTTGTAGGACACTCCACAAAACAATAGAAGGATACACATTCATTTCAAGTATCCACTAATAATATACCAACATAGACCATAAAACAAACCTCAACAAATTTAAAAGAATTGAAATTGTACTGTCTGTCCTTCGACCACAGTGGACTCGAACTAGAAATTAATAACCAAAAGTTGCAAAGAATGTCTCCAAATTAAATGACAAACTTCTAAATAATTCATGGGTCAAAGTGGAGGTCTCAAGACAAAAGTACACTGACCTCAATGAAAATACAATATATCAAAATGTCAGGAGCACAGCTAAAGGCAGTGCTGAGAGGGAAATTATAGCACTAAGTGCTTACATTTATTATGGCGCGTTGGAGGGGAAAGAGCCTCCCATTGGAACTTCCATCTCAGAAACCTAGAAAAAGAACGAAATCAACCCAAAGTAAGCAGAAGGAAGGGAATAATAAAGATATGAGCAGGGATCAATGAAATTGAAAACAGAAAAACATAGAAAACAAATAAAATGAAACAGAGCTGGCTCTTTGAAAAGAGAAAACTGACTAACTTCTGGGAAAACTGACAAAGGAAGAAAGAAAAGACATAAATTACCAATATTAGGAATAAAACAGGACCTGTCACTACAGACCCTGTAAACAACAAAAGAATAAGGGAATACTATAAACAAAAATTTGACAACGTAAATGAAA